AATGAAATCACGGAAAGGGGCATCTTGGCTCCAGATAATGCTCTGCGTCCAAGCACCCGACTCTAGAGCTTTATTGACAGGAGTGGTGAGATTATTGTCTTCCAGAGTGGATGGCGTAGTTGTGTGACTCGGCTCGTACACAATCTCGTCCTCCCAATTAGATAGTAGCACCAAATCAAAACTCCTGTCGTGCAAAGGAAGAGTTACGGGCACATCTGATTTTTCTCGCTCCTACACATGATGAGGGAATGAAAAGGAGCATCCGAGATTGGCACTCACCTCAAGAGCACGCAGCAAGTCATGTTCGATGCTACCCGCGGACATGACTTCCTCCACGCGTTTGTTTTCGACCTGCCGCTTGGTATCACCGACTACGGTATCAAGGAAACCCCTTGGAATATCACGTTTCCGGGGGTATATACTCTCAGCTATATAACGGTTAACATTCTTGAAAATTCTGTGGTACAACTCGTACCCTGTAAAGGCCTCTTTGTTATCCTCGATTTCTTGACCGTGTACCCTTTGAATAACTCTGAGAAATCAAGAACCTTGTCCTTCTCGAAGGCTGGAAAGCGTTCATAAACAGTCTTTGGCCTCTCCACTAGCCGCTTCACTATCCTAACGCGCTTCTCCGTAGGACGCATGCCAACAGGAGATTGAACCTCCATCTTTACAAAGTCTTCCGGCATTTCGTTTTCGAACTCCTTGTTCACTTCATCCTCGAAATCCTCTCCCTGATCCGCACCGACAGCATCGTCGTCCCACCTGTCATTGTAAATCTGTTTGGCGTCCAAGGAAGACAATCCTGAAATACCAAGGCTGTTGGGAAGATCGCCTGTAGAGAGGGATAGGCCTGACAAAACACTATTCAGAGAGAATCCTGTCAGTGTTGAAATCACTGAATCTTCATCCTGTATTCGCTGTGAAAAGCCACTTGCTAAGGCATAGACACGAGACTCACTTGGTTTGCCATGTCCTTCAGCCTCAATAACTGCTTGTGCAGATACTAGTATACAGAGTTTTACGATAATCTCCTTTCTTTATGGGTAAATGAACGAACCCCGTGAGTATTTTGACAAAGGTAGCACACTTAGGTAGCACACTTGGGCGTACAGACGTCGTACAAAGTCCGGTGGATGCGAGAGTACAACTTAAGTAACCGGTGCGATTGACTTAAAGCTGCTTACAAATGCTGGCTCACTAACATGAAAGGCAATTCCGTTCCAGCGCCTGTTATGATTCTGACCACCATGTCCATGACTAAAGAGGTTGCCAAAAGCATTGAAGTAAGTACTGTCAGCCGCAACTGTGACGCGTTTCAAATGCAAACATAATGTATAGGACTTCCGTACAAAGGTCGCGGAGACTGCAGAAGGCATCGTCTTCCGCGTGTTCCCAAACAAGGCGAGTTACTTGCTGTGTCTCCGACTTGTTGCTCATGTTCATTGCAGATAATGAATGTTATAATTTCTTTTGCTTTTTCCCATTCGCTCACCTATATACAGTGAACTTACGGGCCTGATTGAGTCTATGAATGCCCAAGATTCACCCTACCAATTATCTCAAGCGGCTACATCCACAGACACTACCGTCCACCCTCCACCGTCATCAACAGAGACTAATGGTTCATCTAACAAGCGTAAGCGCAATGAAGACGGAAGTGCCGCGCCCTTCCCATCTGAACGAGACCGTCAACGCAAGATATCCAGAGCGTGTACATGCCAACAAACTCATCTCGAAGCTGCATGAGACGGTCAAACTAGAGTGTGCACAGCTATCTGACTCTTGTGTACGTATCTGTCTATTGTGACTTCTTATGGGTATTTTTTTTACCATACATAATCAAACAGGACAAAGTCAAATTATGGGTGAACCTGACCATGCCCAAGTACGTGCTATTCCACATTTCTTATTATCTGCATTGACATGAGATTCAGGATTGAAGAGTGAGCCCTTTTCCCTTCCAGTGGGTCGCTTTTTGACGTCGTCCCTCAAACAGTGGTGACAACTTCGGTGAGTTAAATTATAGGTCTTATTTGTGGTGGCTAAACTGAAATCGTCTGCCACTTAAGGTGTTCAAATCCAAGAGGGTAAGTAATCATGGAGTGGCCGTGGCATCATTGGTCTGATACTCTTTCAGAGGTTCTCAGCGAACTTCTCCGTTCGCAGGAGAGCGCGTATAATATACGCGATGCTGCGCGCCAACATCATCTGGCAAGAGCAAAGATTTGCTCCAAACTCATCAAGTACCCCCACATAGAAGATTACACAGTACGCGCCTCTTGTGTAACATAATCTTGAACCGCTGATGGGATTATTATTTAGCTGGGTTTGAAAGAACACGATGAGAAGCAGTTTTTCTTTTCTCGCCAGAACCTCATAGACATGCGCAATGTTTACGCTGTTCTCACTGATATCCTGCATAAAAATATTGCCAAGGTAAGTTTTCCGTATCACTCCGTCGTTCTCTCCGCTCATGTTGTGTGTAGATTCGGGCACCCAAGGGAAACAATGGTGTCGGGCTGTACTGATGCATAGATGTTCTGGGTCCAGTAATCTTACCGTATCCATACTGATAATTACAACAACGAGTCGATGACGTTTCGGTTAATGCGTTCCTCTGTTGGTCAATGATATCTATTATGTCAATTCCAGGTATGTAACTTCTCCAGGTTCTACTTTTCCATCGGCACGGTGGCAGCAATGGCTTGTGCAGCCTCTGGCGCACAACTACACTGATATCGTTTTGAAGATGTTGAATCCATCAAGTGCAGTGCTCAAAACTGCGCCTGGAATCTGTGGATGCCAGTGAACTTCCTTGACATCCTTTTGACCTTGATGGACAAAGAGGAGTTGTGGCGGGACGTCTCGTGCACCATCAGGTGTGTCATTCATGGATGTGCCCATTTCGTCATCGTCCGGTTCGACTCCAAGATCCCAAAGGGTCACCTGGTCGTCTGCGCCAGACGCAGCGAATATCGAGTCTTCAGTCGGGTGCCACTCGATAGAAGTTATGGGGGCGGTGTGCCATTTAAAAGAGGCAACGGGGCTAGGTAACACTGTTGTCCTTGACGATCTGTGAGCATGAGCGTGACATACGATTTGACCTGAACATACCCTTTCTTTTGGACATTGCGTAGGTCCCAGACCTTGATTCCACCTTCATCGCCACCACTGAGAAGGAGGTAACTAGTACTTCTATTCCAGCTAATGACATTCACGTCACTTTCATGCGCTGGCTCGATTCCGGCCACACTTCGCCGTCCTTTACTCCGCACGTCCCAAATCTGCACGCTGCGGTCCGCAGAGCATGATGCAAATACGGTAGGTTCAGATGGGCTCCACTGCAGGTCTTCGACGCTGGAGGTATGTGATGTGAACGGTTGAGAAAGGGCGTTGAATCCTGATGGCGTGGTTGTCGTTAGGTATATCTTTGAGTGCACGTCTCCAGTGAGTAGACGTAGCGATGATGGATTTGCATTTCCTGATGAAGCCCAGTCCATTGCAAATCCTTCGGCACGACCATGCGAGCTAATAGTGAAAGCTGGCTTATTAGTTCTCGATTTGTCCCACGAGTATCCCGGAACATCCAGAGACTCGATTAGCGGTCTGATGTCCCATATATGAACTTTGCCATTATCGGCCCACGTTGCGGTAAAGTAGGGCTGTGATGCAGGAGGTAGAGGTGATGCAGGAGGTAAGGGTTGGGCACGAACACGGTTTACACCACCGTGATGAGGTACTGAACGGAATTCCAGTATAGCATCTTCATCGAGCGCATCATCATCATCCTCGTCTGAATCTGAATCATCTGCACATGACAATTTATGAGCATCGATTGACAAAAATATGAAGTCGTACATTACCTCCATCCTTTTGCGTTCGGTGTAGTGAGCTCATTTTGAAGACTGAGAGCTCGTTTTTGCTTGCTTGATCTGCTTGTGTTCCAGCGACAAGGTATGCAGTTATTGGATAACGTTGCCGCTCGTCCCCCAAACTGTCCCTGAGGACGTCGAATGACAAACAAGGCCATGTGACATTCATCGAATGGCGCATGATATACACTGAGTCGTCAGGCTCCAATATCTCGTCCTTTCCAAGGACATGCGTCCCGGGGATAAATGCCTCTGGAGCAGGAGGTAGTTCTTCGGATTCTTCGATAGCGGGCATGACTTCATCAACATCCATCCCTAAACGACATCACCTGTGAGTTACACCCCGAAGCCACACGAAAAACAATTTCACGTACCATCTTCGCCGTCCCCGGTCTCTCCATCAACCACCTCCTCTTCGGATTCGATTTCATCCTCCCAAGCATCCTCGAACTCACCGATATCATTTACTTCATTCTCATCACGCTTAGCTCCACTTCCAGATGCCTTCGCAAATGCTTGGCCGTCTGTTTCCCTGTCGGATGCACTTCGTTTGGACATCTCGGATTGAGGTTGCTTGTCTTGCAGATCATAGCTCAGATCTCAAAATTATCGAGCACGTGGTTAGACTGTTGATTACATAAGTAATTTTTGATGACACCATTGGAAGTACTTACTCTGTGGACTTCCAAGCAACTTCCAAGGACCAAGAGGTATTCTAGTACACACGATCTGCGCAGTTGCACACTACTAGTCCCATTATTCCCTGTATTACGATTCCTTTAAAACAGTGCCTGGCCGGCATGCACTTTGCGCGTCATCCCGGGAAGCCTAACACCTGACGGCCTTGCAAATGATTCCTCCATGTCATCATGCCGAGCGCTGACGCGGCCTGGCATCACGGGCATTAGACTTTGTGCCTTGGGAATTATGAATCTGCTTTTACCAAGCCAAGAGACGCGTAAGTATCTGATGGGATGACGCGTATCCGAGTAAGTACGCGTACCATGAGTACCTCTGAAGGCCTGAAGCACTATGGTGGCTTACTATAAATGCAGACCACGGTTCAGCATGATAATATCTCCATAAACTGCACCCCAAGTTACTTCTTTCAAATTTCAAGCAATAATGGCTCTACCTGAGGGGTGCGTTGGCTGACTGACCATACTCTTTCTGACGACTTCATTTCGTATAGTTATGGATATGTTCCGAGTTCATTGATCACCATTGGGTGGGTCCTTGTCTGGCAGAGTATCATGGTTGGGAGGTACCGCAAGAGGGCAGGGGTCGAGTTTCCTCAACGTGCGTTCAAGTGACTTCTTACTAATTCTAGACTCTCTGATACCTTCCACCACAGTGTATGCTGAACAAGCTGAGGTCAAAGATTCCGCTGCAGCCCTTCGTTTCAACTGCATGCAGCGTATGTTTTCTCTAAATTCGTAGTTGCGTGGCCTTTGATTCACCCTTGACCTAGGTGCACACCAAAATACGCTTGAAACGGCACCCGTGGTATTCGTTTCGTAAGTCTGCACTGGATTTGAGGAGAAAGTGACACATAACAAAAGTTGCCGTCAGAACTGTCATGGCAGGGTCTGAAGTACCCTGCTCTAGCTGCTGCCATATGTGTTGCATATTCCTTCGCGCGCATCGCTTATACCATTGGATACAAGTCGGGCCAACCAAAGAGGGTTCGTTGTTGCGCCTTGTTATAATACTCGACATCATCTCATTTATGTTTTTCAGCGGGTGTTTGGAAGTATTGTCAGCAATTTCTCAGTGCTTGGTAAGTAGTATGATCTGTATCTTGCCTCCCCTCTCTTAACGTCTCTCTAGGACTCTTGTCGACTGCTACATACGTTGCCTACCAGCTCCTTCCATCGTGTTAATATCAATGACACCAATCACATTGTGAATAAATTATCTCAGAGAGACTCAATTCACGCAGCTTGCCTCACGAAACACGATCAAATACCAGCACATTCTTTTGTCATCATCCTTCCTGGCAAGCTAAACGATCTAACGCACGAGTTTATAATAACTTGCGCGTCTGCGGCAAATGGATAGTCTTACGATTCACGTGCTTGCAGCCTGCTACTAGTGTCGCGCTGACAACTCATGCTACAGGTTGCTGCGCGAGTCAGCCACAATATTTTGTTGAAGTTCATTGTTGTTCTGAGTGATTTGCCTCCGCTTATTGGCCTGGATGCCATTTTGTCCTCCCGGGTGATACACATATATGATTTTATCCACAAAGTCGGGTTTTTGCCCTTATCAAAGCGACTAAGTATGTAACATAACGGGAATGCCCCTGTGGATTTGGTAACTGTCCGGGAAGGCCACAACGTTGTCTGTCATTCATCTACGGTGGTCATTAGCTTTTCCTTCCTCAACCATGTCTGAATCATATAATCGCCTGCCCTTTCCAACCTCGTCCGAAGAGTTTGCACTCCCATCAACGTCGAGCGTGGCATCTTCTACATCAGCCGACGATGGACTGCCGAATCCACTGTTTTTGAGACTGCGACGACCGACATTACTCAACAAGTCATCGTACTATTCAGACAAAAGGATACAAAGTCCGTTGGCAATTTCGTTTACCGTGGCCTCCAGGAGACGAGGGAGTAATGGCGAAGAATCAGAAAGTGACCGAGAGAGAATGTGGTCTGAAAGCTCTCCATCAAGCAGCTCAGGAAATCCAACACCCCCAATTACTCTTCCACTAGAAGGAGATGACGAAAGCAACACTAGCACACGCAGTGGTGGGCCCAGTCCCTCAACGCCGCCGCCGAGTCGCAATCTGAGCACAAATGCACTACCAGTCAATGCTGGAGACACGCCTATCCCAATATTGCGCCGTCCTACTTATCCAGTGAGTGCTATGCTGCGTAGTCGTTATTCGTATGCTAATATTAATATCTCATGTAGCTGAAGCCTGCGCGCATATTGAATCTGCTAGCAGAACCACGTCCAGAAGAGGACGAACTTCAGTCTGAGGCAGCTTTCCAACGCCTGTTGGCATCGCACTCCGACCTCCCCTCGCAACCCCGTACACCTCGTGCGCCCTCAGACCGTGGTCGCTATCCTGAAGAAGTGGGCCACGAGGATTCGCACGAGGATCCTTTGAGTGACGATGATGATGACGACGACGTCCAGGGCCTTTTTGCCTTTGATATACAGAGCGAAACAAACAACGTCAAGCCTTGTACCCCTGCTCAGAGTGTAAATGGGGATGATTTGAACATGTCCCTGGCAGAAAGCCCGATGGGAGTGGCCATGGATGTAGATCCCGTATGTTTCCACTATCTCATTCGTTATCTCTTGTTAACCGCCGGGCAGCCTATGGTATCTCCCTCCATCATTTCCACGCCCATGTCTATTCAATGGCGATACACGCCACCCCCAACTACAAGCGCGGTGCGCTCGAACAAACGTAAATGTAAGGTAGTCGCACATTACTCGAAGGTATCACATTAACAACTCGTGGCAGTGGACGACAGATATGATCCATATCCTACATCCGCGAAACGCCGTGCTGTATCGCCTTCCATATCATACTTGCGAGAAACACACCCCTCACTCGTGTCGTACCCTCGGACACCTAGTTCCAGGCCTCCAGTCCCAATTCCTCTTTCTATCCCTCCATCCAATTCTAGTACTTCAGCCACCTCATCACCCACCGTCACGTCCGGTTACCCTTTCCAAACTTATCCGAGTTCACGGCAGGTAAACCTGGGAACCATGAGCTTATCTTCTAGCCCTGTACTTCGGCCTTCTTTAGGGCTTGTGAGTCCGATTTTACGGCCGATTCTGCGGACGCGGAGAGGAGCTGATGGCGAGGAAAGGGAGATCGAAGGCGCAGGCGAAGCCGTGAATGGATTATCACTGGGCTGAGTGACCGGGCACCTTGAGTGACATACAGAATAGCAATTCGGGTCGCTTTATCTGCGTTTACTGATCTGGTTCGGGAAGTTGCGCAAAGTGCGCGGGCATTTGCTTCCACGCACGCTTGAATCGGACTGCTTTCCAAGGTGTTTGAAGCCCTTCGTTCTATAGCAATGGGCTAATGCATCTCACTGCGAAGCTGTCCCGTATTGCACAGTTGCCTTGGCAAGCTGGTTCAAGGCTCTCCCGCACTACACGCACATTATGTACAACATCACGTGATGTAATTGCTAATACATACTTTTTATATCCAATCTGCCGTCTATTCGCTTCAAGCGAACCCGGCAGGAACGTGCCACCTCTCAAAAGACGCGCCCAGGATCCTATATAAATATCAATGTCTTCAACTCCCAAGCTCACCAAACGCCAAAAAAAGGGCATAGCTTTCCGCGAGGGCAAAGGCAAATCAAAAAACCAAGTAGACCTGGAGCACGATGTCCCTATTCTCGAACTTCAGGACCTTAGTGACGGTCGGGCTAGCGGTGAGGAGGGTGGGGAGGACATTCAAGGCGCTCAAAGGAGTGTTGGGGGGGAAAGGAAAGGAAGGAAAACGGCCGTGGCTCAGAAGGACGGAGAGAAAGAAGGGCTGGTGGTGGCAACGAAAAAGAGAAAGAGGGAAGTTGCGGAAGATGCACAAGGAGCCGGAGATCTAGAAGGAGAGGATGGGCCGTTGGGGAAGCGAGGAGTTAAGAGAACCAAGGGAGATGCTGGGGATGTTGCAGAAGATGCTGAGCAGGGAGAGTCAAAAACCGAAAAATCAAAACAACGTTTTATTCTGTTTCTTGGTATGATCGAGCACCCTGAGGAGTCCCTCCGCTTAATTGACACCTTGACCTCAGGAAATCTTAAATATACCACCACTTTAGAATCAATAGAGGCTCACTTCGCAGCATGCGGTAAGTTATTACAGTAATCTGCAGCACACGAGGTTTTGACATCGGCGCTCAGATCCACCACCTACCATCCGTTTACTTGCACCTAAATTAGCTGCTAATAAACCATCAAGACCCGTGATGAAATCCAAGGGATGCGCTTTCCTTGAATTCAGGCATCGCAATGCTCTTCAGCAGGGCCTCAAACTGCACCACTCCAGTTTGGATGGTCGTCAGATCAATGTTGAACTTACTGCTGGCGGTGGCGGCAAGGGCGAAGCGAGGCTGTCGAAGTTGAAGGAACGGAATAAGGAGTTGGAGAGTCAGCGAGTGAGCCATGTTCCCAGCGTAGTCTACTTGGTACTAAGTAACTTAATTGCACAGCAAAAACAACTCCAGAAGAAAGCCAATTCAAAAGGTGAAGAGCCAGCGTCTAGGATGGATGCGGCAAAGAGATTTTCTACAACATCAGGCGCCGATCAGGAGGTGCAGAAAAAGCGGACATGGACGGTCGGTGACACGGAAGACTCCACGACACATCGCGGGGGAAAGAAGCACGTGAAGGCTGATAAAACACGGCGGACCAAAAGCAAAGACTGGGGTACTGGCGTTAATGCTATCCCTGTTGGCTGAGTTTCATTTTGCGGAGTATTCTGTGATTCCTTCCTATGATGTTAGATATTAAATTATGATATGAATATCGTGCTAGTAAATATGCGACAAAACGGCGCTTAGCGTCCACTCATGAGACAAGAATGAAGATAAGGAACTGGTGAAGGGGTTTAGAACTCGCATGCCTGTATTTCTCGAGAAGGACAAACTCACGAAGACGATCAACACGCCAAAGACCTTGAGCATCAGCCAGCGATTGCTCGAGATGCTCGCGTAATACTTGAGCAGCTCTCTCTGTGCACCACTCACATTCGACGCGATATCCACGGTGTCTGCGTCAATGCGTTGTACTGTTTCTCGTTGCTCGGCAACCATATTGGCCAGCTGGGTGAATATTTGTCCTAGTTCTGCAATTGTCGATTCGATGGATTCTATCGCTGTTGATCTTGATTGGATATACGAGTCCTGGGAGTCTCTCAGTATAAAGTGTAATTAAGCAGCATTCAACTGAATCACCTGTTGTTCGATTTGCTGCATCTGCATGAATGCATTGCCTCCGTGTTTTGTTGAGCCCTCCTCGGCTGAATCAAGGTCCAATGCGAGAACGTCTTCGTTTTGAAAGGCTCGGCCTTTGCCTTTGGAGTTAGGTCGGCTTCCGTCACCCATAGGGTCTTGTCTCCCGTTTAGAAGTAGCGAACCTGATAGGCGAATTGGTCGCGAGAGCTCGTTTATGCACCAATGATGACTTACTCGGTGGGGCGTGGTGGGTTGCAGCTGCCGTAGAGAACATGAACTGCTCTGTACGGTCTTTGCTTTCTTTCATGTTCTGGAACTCCATTTAGCCTGAGTTGCTGACATGCGGTTTGGCGCCTCACTTGTGTCCTAACTTCCAGAACATCCTTGAAGCTCATGCTTGTATTTGCCAACTTGCTCTGCAGCATCATGACGACATTGTGGTTGTGTTCCTCAATTTGTTTCCCCTCTGAAGATTTTGATGCTTGTGCATTCCTTTGCTTAACATAGGATTGCAGAGCGGCTATTTGCCTGTTTATGTTCGCAATGTCTTGTTTAATGATAAATGTCAATTCCTGAAGGATTCATGTTAGCGTACTGCGGACACGTCGGCGAAGAAGCATACACTAATCTCCACTGGTCTGTCGTCAAACAGTGTCTTCCGTTTCGCGACTGGAAGCTGGTCAATAAACGCAGTGAACAATAAGACGTTGTACTTACGCTGCGCAAGCTTTCCTAGTTTTATGGCAGTACTGCTGATATCTTTCCCAATGGCAGAGGCCATACGCGAGAATTCGCTCTTTGCTCCTCCATTGCTGTGGGATTGAAGTAACTTCTGTTTCGCCTCAGCGGCTCGGGGTGGTACAGCGGACCTGTTTCGTATGGACTCCACGCATGAACGAAACTCTTGTGTTCTATCTTGTATTGCCATGGCGGGTTGCGTCTATAAGGAAAGAATAAGGTATTAAATATAGATGATGAGTATGTGTTGGACGAAGGGCGAGTTGTAAACACCGGCTGCGGCCGGCCACCACGTCTTCCGGCCGGCCATCGACATTGAATTTATGGTCTAAGCCCGGCAATAACGCCGTGAGCTTTTGCTGGATATGATACTTACTCGAGAGTACTCCTTGCTACTTTATGCTACTTGACTAATCAGAGCATCTTGGCCAGTTGTGCATGCTGCGTTATATTGCTATTCGACGTAATAATATCGTCAAGAGCAAGCTACATCCACGGGCCAGTGTTATCCTCTGCTCTCATCGTAACCATTTCTCCAGGCGTAGCACTCACTCCACCGCCTCTCTCTCTACTGCGAAATTCACTATGCTGTCATTACCCTCAACCCCACCCCCAAAATCAAAAATTCTGGTCTTTGGAGCAGGCAATTTTGGAAGCTGTTTGGCGGACCATCTTGGAAACTCAGACCATGAAGTATTCATGTGGTCTCGAGAAGCTCGTTTCGTGGAATACTTTAACAAGCATCACCGGAATCCAGACTACCTGAAAGATCACGAATTTTCAACGAATATTCGTGTTGTCGGCCCGGAGATACCCAGCAAGGCGATGATGAAACAGATGGATGTTTTACTTTTTGCAATACCAACGCAAGGCGTCAGGTGAATATCTCATGGACCTGTCTCAGATTCCGTATTTTATTTGAGATCGAAACCAACAGAGAAACACTCATCAAACTACAACACAGCTTCGACCGCGCAAACTTACCTTTGATGATTTTTGTCAACAAAGGTATTGAAACAGGCACACATGCACTAACGCTCGAGATCATTGCTGATACCTGCGGAAGTGAAATTGCGCGCGCGGCAACTTTTATTGTAAGCGTTGTCTTGTCTGCTTATCTCCGTAGTCGTGACTCTGGTAGTCCGGACCATCATTTGCAACGGAAAGTACGTTCAGAATTTGAAAAGAATCATGCCTCCCCCTGAAAAGAACCCCAAGTTGTTCGCAGGCAACCGACGTCTGTTTCTGTCGCATCTCTAACAGAATCGCAAGCAAAGAAAGCGTCAGAAATATTCCATCAGCCGTGGTTCCGGTGGTAGGACTTATCCTATTCCAATCTTGGCGTTTTGGTTCAAGGTGCATACAGCTACACTGGATCTGATCCGATAGGGTTAGAACTTGCAGGTGCCCTCAAAAATGTTTACGCTATCGCCACAGGCCTTGCCGATGGACTCGGATTCGAGAATAACACGAGAGCCGGTAGGTTTGTTACATTCTTCAAATCAGAATTGTAATTATAGCTTACCGGCAAGGTCTTATTACTCGCGGCCTCGCCGAAATGACGCGAATCGGAACTGCGTACGGAGCATCACCATTGACGTTCTTAGGACTGGCTGGTGTGGGAGACTTGTTTCTTACGTGTAGTTCGCCGACCAGTCGTAATTACACCGTGGGTTATCGACTAGGTAAAGGAGAGCCGCTGGAAGATATTATCAAGACGCTTGGTAGTGTAGCTGAGGGAGTGACAACAGTGAAGGGACTGAAGAAGATTATCGATGAAATGCAAGTGTCTGCGCCTCTTGCCAACGGGGTGCGTAATGCGATCTGCCTTTATGTTTCAGCTAAAACAATCTCGCTTGCCCGATTGCAAACCCAGATATATGCTCTTCTCTATGAAGGTGGGTGCAGATGGAGCCTGATTTGCCTAATCTGAATGTCTCGTGCAGGGAAAGACCTGCATGAAGGTATACAAGAATTAATGTGTCGTCCACCGTCACGCGAACTGGACCTACCGGAGAAAGCAGGGGAACCTGCCAAGAGGTTGATGCAGAAGCTTGGATTGGACACATGAACCTTTTTGTATACATAGTTCAAGTCAGGTCTCGAGCAAGGCTCCCGTTTCCGCGTAACATGTGATCGTAACTTGATAACACGTCTTCCTGAAAAGGAACATAACATCCGGTGCCTAAATCAATGACCCACGCGTCGACGTATGCATGCATATGTAAGCAATGCGAGAGACAACTGACTATTGTCCACGTCCAATAATTTATTGATTGTAGTCACATCTTCTGCTGTCTGCAAACTTGGCCAGCGTGAGGTGGTCTATATAGATCGGGAGAACCAGATAAGATTTCCTCACATAATAATATATTACTTTAAAATTACATAAGCGTATCCAAGTAAATATTTTCTCACGCATTTTTTTTTCTTTTTTTTTTCGTAGGGGCGTGCCACACTCCGAAAGCCGATTCAAGCCAAAGTTGAGGTCGACGTGTCTAGGTCACATCTTTTCTTCCTTTCGCTCAGTTTCTCAGATCTGCCCTCGGTTCATTCTGCGTAGCCCTATTTGTTCTTTTTCTTCATCCATTAGATTCACTGTAGGATTTGCGACATGGTCTCACAGCTCTGGACCGCTTGCTCTGAGGGAAACCTCGAAACAGTCCTTAGCATACTCAATGATGCATCTTCGGTCGATATCGAGATCAGAGGTGTGTTGCTCGCATTTTCAATTTCACACTTCCACGCTCGCAGAAACTTAATATCATTTTCTTTGTCTCCACCTGCAATTCTGTTACAGATCACACAGGTTCCACTCCCCTCATCGAAGCAGTCAAGAACGGACATGTTGATGTGGTGAAGGTGCTACTCGACCGAGGTAATATAATTCACGCGTCAAATTGCGATTATCTCATCGATTGTATGATCAGGTGCCGATCCTTCTTTTGCATCTGTGCATGGCCGGCCAGAAATGTACACATCTGATGCTGCGATCTTGGAGCTGTTCAATAATGCCCAAAACAAGCCTGCGCCCAATGGTGTACCTGCACAAGAGCAAGGCTACACCCAGGATTCGATGGTTAATCCTGCGAAACCCTACTATTCTGTCCCCGCTGGACCTTATGCTTATTACCCAGGCGTACCCCCTATGCCGACATTGCCCGATGGCTCTCCTGCGTATTATGCGCAGCCCCCCATGCAAATGGGTGAAAACGGAGGTTTTGGAAACCTCCCTCCGCCGGAAGTGGCACGTTTCATTCCTTGCAGATACTTTCCTGCTTGTCGTTACGGTACCTCTTGTCTCTTTGCCCATCCTCAAGCTGGCCCGTATTATCCTGCTCCCCCGCCACCCCCTGCACAATATCCCGCTCCTTATGATGCAATGACTCAACAACCTTATGCCCCTAATTATTACGCTGTACCTCCACCTACATATCACCCTCCAAGTTCGGTCCCTCCTCACATCAACCCCGCATCGCCTACTGCAGGTCCCGTTCATACTCCCTCACACCCGCCGATGGTTCACACCAGATCTGGTTCAGAAGCGATATCGCCTGTCCAGGTTCCTTTCAGCCCTTCCGCTGCACCTGCACCTGTACCATATGGTGCTGTATCACCTGTATCACCATCGTACCCACCACCATCTCATGTACCTCTTCCACTTTCTATCCCTTCGCTTCCACCTCCCCATCAACCGCCTAGTGCCCCGGGTCCGCAATCGCCGCAAACAGTATATCCGAATGGCCCAATTTCTGCCCCTCCATTCGCTGTTCGTCAAGATCCTGTACCATATCAATCTCACGGCCCGCACCACCACCATGGATTCAATGAAGCCAATAGTGGGCCAAAGCCACCTTCTCATACTGAGGGCTTTGGCCACGGTCCAGTGTTCCGCCAGGGCGTGAATCAAAATCGTCGGGGTAGTATGAGACGTGGATCCTTTGGCGGAAGTCGTAAACCGGCTTGCCTCTTTTATCCTGCAGGCAGGTGCAGGAATGGGTGAGTTATCATGATTCCACTATTCATTGCTATATATTCAATAGAAACACTTAGCGACGAATGTCGTTTCCCTCATGTTCTTCCTGACGTTACGAATACTCATCCCCCTCATTTTAATGGGCGGGGTCCACGTCCAAAGGATAATGCGCGGAACGGACCCAACGGTATCCCTACGATTGAGGAAAAAATGGCTCACTTGAACGTCCGAGAAGTATGATCATATTTCTAATCCTAGGATTTGCCCTGATTGGTTTATGGTTTACAGGATGCCCAGCCTCGCGTGAACGGCACCGCAGCTTCTAGCCGATCTCAATCGACAGACGGCAGCCGCTCGAGGGGAACAAAGTCCAATGGTCCGTCTCGAGCGGAGAAAAAATTTACCCCAAAGCAGAGGGTTCCCAATGCAGATGAGTTTCCTGTACTTGGCGGTTCGACGAATTCGTCGAGAAGCTCTGTCAATGGGTCATGCGGTCCGACGGCAGCACAAGTACTTCAAGCGCCCGCGCCTGCACGCAAAGAAACCGCGAAAGACCCAGTGACTCGTACTGCATCTCCAGAACAGAATTCTGTAAAAAACCAGGCTGTAAGTTTTATTGGTAGTAGTCTTGTGTACTGGACTGATTGGTTCGTAGGAATCGAAGCCTGCTGGGGTCAATGGCGTACAAACTAATGGCACGCCTGCTACTGTCCCACCTCCTGCCAAGTTGCCCCTCTCTTTTGCAGCTGCGGCGACGGGGACTGCGCCTGAAGTTTCAAAGGAAGTGTCTGTCTCTGCGTAAAACGGACCTATCTTTACATTTATGTCATCATCGGGTTTCTCGCTTTACTTTAATCTGATATTTCTTGGTTCATTCATCCGACTCCATTTATTTATCTTGCTGCCATATTTTTCTCCTGTTTCTGGATCATTTTCCGCATATACTAACTATCCATTACCATGATTTCACACTTGCCTTTTTTCGTCTGGTCAATACAGCATTACAGTTTTTTTCACTCGGTACCCTTGATATCTAGAAGAGTCCGATTTTTTTCTCTCATTGTGCTCTTGTCTCATTTATCTACTGGTGTTGATCTGTCTGCTGGGGTACACATACTATTTACATCTACTTTCGACACTGACTCCCTCTCCCATCTCATATCATGTCTTGCTCACATTCAGTATCAATATCGCAATGTTTTCATGCATACTGTACCTATGATCGAGACACCGTCCCGCGAAAGCAAATACAAGGCGCTCTCGCGTCTCGTTTATCG